GCTAATTCAGACCATTTTTTATCAGTATTTATATTATATTTATCTTCCATATTATCAAACCATTCTGTATCATTTTGTAAAAGATTATTTGAAGGCATATTCTGAATAGGTGATAAGAAGATATCATCTAATAAAATTAAATTATCTACTAGAACATAGTTTTGTATCAGAATTTGATCTGTAGCTGAATTTTGTAATAATGGTATTGGTGTTACAATAAGATTTTGGATAATACTAGGTTTATATAGAAATTTACGATTTAAGTATGCATCTCGATCTTGAATCTTTTTAAAATCATCTTTTCTACACCTAAAACATGGAGAATTATTTTGTATATAGGTGCTAGTATTCTGTTGTTTGTATTAATATACCAGAATTTTTGTTTAAATTAAAATTTTCATATTTATATACTATGATAGGTGAATATACTTGTGATTATTTACTCAGAATAGAAGTTATTTGTGGATGTACTTGTCGTCAGCCTGAAGGATACCATAAGCATTAGAAGGCTAAAAAGCATTTTCTTGTAAAGTTTGTAGTATACCAACTAGCTCTAAATCTGGCCTTTGTAGAAAGCATGCTAATAGATATTATGTAACCCAGTATATTAATAGACTTCAAGAAAAGGCTCAGAAGCTTCTACTTTATAAAAATTGATATAATTGAATTGGTTATAAAAATAAAAAATAGTTGGTTCTAGCTATATAAAAATTTATACCAAGTAATGTATATAAAAAAGATATAAAATATAGCAGGATGAGGTGTAAACGAGTTTTTAACAATATATTATATAGAGGTGTGAAAAAGTGTCCTAGACCTTTTCTTTTTGTTTTACTCCATTGCTTGAGTTTATTTATAGAAACAAAAGCTTAAATAAATATTTATTTTAAAAGTTTTAACATTGTATACAATTGTTTATATGATTATTATCATCTTGATTAGAGTATCTAGTATGGCTATTAATCAGTTTGACTAAGACCACTAGTCCTGTAGTCTGCTTTAGAACTGGTGTTACTATTATAATTTTGGAAGAGTATCAGTAAGTAGCCAAGTTTAGATCAGCGATAGTGAACGAAAGATAAATTATGTAAGATAAAGACAATAGGTGAATATTTAAAAGTATATATACTAATTATATCTCTTAAATTGTAATACAGGCAAATTTGCCTGTATTTATTTTTTTAAACTCTAATTTTTTAATAAAATCTTAAATATTA